GGAGACATGATGCAAATCGATATCGTTGGACCACTGAAGTCACCAGTGTACAAATTTGTATTAACTGGAATCGATGTCTTCTCGAAATACTTGTTTGCAGCACCATTGACAAACGCTAGCGCTGATACAGTAGCAAGGGAACTCACGAAAATATTTTTCATGCACAGCTACATACCGAAAAAGATCATAGCAGATCTCGGAACGACATTCACGTCAGAACTAATGCATGAATTGACAACTCTATTAGAAGTTCAAATCAATCACGCAACGCTGAAACATCCACAATCAATTGGTCTTGTCGAGCGATCTCATGGACCTCTAAAAAGGATCTTGAAGCTGAATACTAATGAACAATGGTCAGACTGGCACAAATATGTCCCATTGGCAACATTCATTCACAATACGTCGTACTCTTCATCAATTGGATGCTGCCCTAGCTCTATTTTTCATGGAAGAGAACCAACAAAACCACTTGATCTTCGCTTTTCGACGAAAGCAATGGAATCAGTAACAGCAGAATCAGACTTCGTTACGGCAATGCAAGACGCGATGCTAGAAAAGTTCAAAGAAACAAAAAAGAACTTGATTTCTTCGTACCACAAGTATCGAGGATATTACGATCAAAAGGCACTTGCGCAGCCTCTCAGTCGAATCATTTTGTTTACTACTAAATCCTCTGCTGACTACACAGTCAGACTTTGGAAGCAAATCAATGCAAGTCTGGATACCCCTGTACAGAGTTGAGAAAGTGTTAACAAATTCGAACTATATAATTCGGAAAGTTGGAACTAACTACACCCAATGTGTGCACCGAATTCGTCTCAGACCAGTTGATCCACAGCATCAACCAGAAGATCTCAATCCAATAGATCCAACGAAGTTTCAAACGGATCCTTCACTCGGAAAATACCGAAGCGAACCAGGACTTTTCGACGAAAACTTGCCGAAACTCTTAGATGAGATCCAACCTGATAATCCTGACGAAACCGATCAACCAGCCGCACCAGCTAGAATCAGACTATCAGTGCCCTTTGGAGCGCCAGCAGTTGCAGCAGCACCTGCACCGATGCCAATTCCAGCAGCACCAATAGTGGTACCATTACCGGTCCCAGTACCAGTAATACCACCACCGCCGGATCCACCCCCAATCCCAGGAGCAGTACATGTGCATGAATTACCACTCGCTGAACTACCAGCAGCGCCACCAATGGATATCATTGATGAACAGGTCACTGACAGATTAACCAGCAACAACTCTGATCCTGAGGGATACAACCTCGACGAATTGTTTCGCGAACCACAGCCAGTTGTCAGACGAAAAGCAGCAGCTGAAGCTAGAGACCGAATTCACGCCCAAATTCGGTTTAGTAATGATGTTCGATATCACCCAATACCCAGCCGCCCAAAACAACCGCGAAAGTATGGACTCCGAACCGTTGACGGACACGAAGTGGCCCCAGTTACATTCATTCCACGATCAACGCAAAGGGACAATAAAGCAAACATACGAAAGAAAGCGGAGGCGGCGAATGAAGACTTTCCTTCACGGGATTCGAAAAGGAACATTATTATGGACAGCGTTAAACGAGCGAAACAATTCACTAAACAAAAAGATGGACCTGGAAGCAGCAAAGACTCGGTAAATGCAATATATGAACCAAATATCTTTGTGGGATCAGGTGATGTCCTACAGTTCCCTGGCTCTATAGCTCACTGCGTCTCAAGTGACTTTCAAATGGCAAAAGGAGTAGCACAGCAGATCAGCAGCGCCTACCCATGCATCAAACCAACCCTAAAAAGCATTGAAACACCGATAGTTGGATCATCAGTTTCAGTTTCTTTGCCTTGGGAAAACAAGTCAATTTTCAATTTAGTCACAAAACCACAATTTTTTGACAAGCCAACATACTACGATTTGTCAAGAAGCCTCAACTGCATGAAGCAGCAGCTACTGCAGAAGGGAATAAACGCTATAGCCATGCCGAAAATCGGATGTGGACTCGACAAATTGAAAGAAAGCAGAGTTTTCAGCCTAATTTGCGACATTTTCGAAAAAACGAACATCAAAATCTTTATTTATGTGTGACGAAAAATCACGATATCAGCTAGTAACGTTCATGCATGCATTCTTAACAATGTAAGCTCCAAAACCACCCAATCGATACAATTGAAGTCACGAAAAAACCAAAATAAAACAGAAAAAGTATAAAATTTCGAGAAAACTCTCATTTCCTCAAGTTGAGCTTTTCTGAAAAACTGACACCCAAGTCGAAATATACGTAATGCAACCGCTTTGAACCCGTGGAATACCTTCAAGGCCCAACTAGGACTCAGGCAGGAAGTCGGCTCACTAGGAGAAGTCAACTTCGCGAGATCTCGAAAAATCCACCTGTTGCCCATGTTTAAGCATTACGAATAAAAAATTTCTGCTCCCCCCAAAAATTTTAGCTAACGAAGAACCAATTTTTTTGGGCTCAGTGATCATTAGACGACCAATGAGGAACAGGCAGGAAGTCGGCTCACTAGGAGAAGTCAACTTCGCGAGATCTCGAAAAATCCACCTGTTGCCCATGTTTAAGCATTACGAATAAAAAATTTCTGCTCCCCCCAAAAATTTTAGCTAACGAAGAACCAATTTTTTTGGGCTCAGTGATCATTAGACGACCAATGAGGAACAGGCAGGAAGTCGGCTCACTAGGAGAAGTCAACTTCGCGAGATCTCGAAAAATCCACCTGTTGCCCATGTTTAAGCATTACGAATAAAAAGTTTCTGCTCCCCCCAAAAATTTTAGCTAACGAAGAACCAATTTTTTTGGGCGCAGTAATCATTAGACCACCAATAAGGAACAGGCAGGAAGTCAGTCCACTAGCAGATCACAACTTCATGAAGATCTCGAAAAATCCACCTGTTGCCAACGTTTAAACATTACGAATAAAAAGATTCTGCTCCCCCCAAAAATATTAGCTAGAGAAGAAAGAAATTTTTTGGGCTCAGTAATCATTAGACCACCAATAAGGAACAGGCAGGAAGTCGATCCACTAGCAGATCAAAATTTGGAGAAATACATCAATTTACACTATTCCCATGTATTATGATAGGCAAAACAAGAAAAAATATAAAATTCGAGGGATATCTTCGCAGAAATTCAGAAAGAAAGCGTTCAAATGAGCCAGCAAACATCCAATGTGCTTGTTAGGCAACCCTAAAAGGTTCTCAGTGATACTGAAGAACAACACGCGAATCTTGAATGCCAAGAAGATATCAAAAAAAGATAAACGAAATTAATGGAAAAAAAAAAAAAAAAAAAAAAAAAAAGTAATTTATCAACTACTCTAACTGACGCCAAATTTTGCTCAGGCGAACCAGCAAATTGTCTGAATAGCCTATAGGAGTGAAGTGCAGCTACAGTAGAAGAAAAGAACGGAAAAAAAAAACAAAAAGCCAGACACTACACACAATACGATGATCGCGATCAATGCAAAAACATCGTAGAAATGTGTAATTTTGACTTTTTCAAAGAAAAAAGTCGATCACCTTCATTCAGGGAGTAAGGCCAATAAAGGCACAAAACGCCCATACGATGAAGACCAGAAGACTTCTGAAAAATAGACAACGAACAGTAAATGAAATATCAACCTTTTAGCAAGTAATATAAAGTACTAATTGCTAAGCTAGTTGAAAATTTTCAAAAGAAATCGTGAAGAAATCAACAAAACATATCACTGTTAAGTTGTTGATAATCAATTCACAATCTATGAGGCAACGATTGGAACCACACCGCCTCATATCAAAAAGACTTCAGCATCAAACGAGCACAAAAAGAATGAAAGGCAACAACGAACGAAGACAGCGATATCAAAAATTAAAACGAAACGACGACCAAAACTATTCAGCTACTCCACACGACAGTTCTTGCCGTGGAAATTTAGTTACAGTTGACAAATGAATACATCATGATATCATTAATTTATCCTTATCATCTATCACTTTAACTCCCATACCCCGACTCAAGGTGGCTTGCTTAAAAATTATCTCCCATTTAAGTTTAAAATAATTTATCTTCTCTCGTTTTATAAATTGAATTAATAAACTGTGCTTCTAATATTATGAGTTTATTAAATTATTGCGATATAACTTTTGATAGACCCATACCATATTGACACTTGTACATATTCTTAATCAAAGCAGTCTTAAATTATTATGTGAATTATTGTAAATGTATCTGATGAAACACTTCAACCACCCGGGAAGACTTCTTCTTGTGAGGTTGTGTGACATCATCCCTTCATGATGTCATTCATTCTAATTAACCATCTGAACCGAATAGATTACATAATTCACCTTGATGTTAAAATAGAGCTGCATCATATATTTATTTAACTATGTAAACATTGATGGTAATTAATACCAATCATTGGAGATTTATACCGAGCTACGAATCAATTGAATAGAGATCAACTTAATAAACTATTCCAATCATGCCCTTACTTGCGCCGATCGACTTGCGAAATATCAGAAGCTAGGAATCGGAACCAGCATCCTTTAAAGCAAGATAGGTCGTTACCGCTCGAGACATATCTAAATAATGAATCCAATCTAAATACAATTGATAGCCAGTAGTGCTAAATAACATTACCAATTGAACAGCTCGCATAACAGTAGACGACAGTATACCCGTATTATCCATCCGCCAGATACGGAATATTATAATAATTGTCGACAGAGTTTAATGGTCAATATTTCATCTAAGGTCAACTCCGAAGCCCAGAAAGTGACGCATCACTGTTTTGTTCGGTGCTGAATATCAATTATGCGGTGCATTTTTAGTTGAAAACGGCGATCCATTCTGGATTAACAACTGCGGTTCAAAAAGGTCAATGTTTTTTATTAACATGTATTAAAACATGCAGTACTTATTTAAGTATAATTGCTTTAGTCAATCACTTGTTAACTGTGTTTTTCAAGCGAGGAATATTTCCAACAAGTTCCTGATACGTACCTTCTCATTTCAGCTAGAAGCCACTCTTCGAATCCCTTTTCTGCAACTTCCAAGCCTTTCCATGCGTGAACAATGTCCTAAAAATATACCGCTCTCAAAAACTATAAATATCTCGAAAACCTAACCAACAGAAAAATTGAGAAGTGTCAACAAACTCAAGAAAACCGACAAAAAATTCGAAAGAAAATGCTACTTTCAAAGTTCAAAGAAAAACAATATTACGATAAAGATCATTGATTTTCATGAACTTTTCATTATTGTCACATTTCTCATTAAGACTAAACCAATTATAGAGAAAACTGGGTCAATAGATAATTTTTCTATTCGGCCGGGCATTCTGTAAATTGAAGTCCTTGAAACTGAAAGCCAATCGTAAAAAAATTATTTCGCGCCATTTCCATTTCGTAATCAGTATAACTTTACCCTGCTTTGAGCAAATTAATTTGAATTGCACTATCAAAATTCCAACCGCGAAAAATCAAACTACAGCGTGAGAACGCGACTTAAATAAGTGTCTTCACTTCGTTCATGGACACATAAATCCAAACCATTTACAGTTTAGTGGTAATCTGACACATAGTTGAGCTTCATTTAACGAAAAAAAAACGACATTTTGACAACTATCACGGAAAACGTAGCCAATCGGAGATTGGAAAAGTGTAGACGAGAAATGAAACGGAAAAAAATGATAGCAAAACTTAAAAATACTTTTTTAACATTAGAAAAATGAAGAAAATTTTTAACATTAGAAATTTGAAGAGAAATATATCAGGTTGAAGCTCTTTGAATTTCCGGAACTGTTCATGATTGGCACGTTTTTCCTAAAATCAACCCTATTTAAGAAAACTGGATCAAAGAGTCAACTTTTTATTCAGCTAGAAAATCTAGAAATTTAAACCCACTTCCGAAACTAGAAACCGATCATGTCTTTTCGAACGATTTCAACTTCCGTAATTGTAGAGCAAAATGTCTCTACCAGCTCTTTGAATTTCAGGAACTGTTCATGATTGGCACGTTTTTCCTAAAATCAACCCTATTTAAGAAAACTGGATCAAAGGGTCAACTTTTTATTCAGCAAGAAAATCTAGAAAATTAAACCCACTTCCGAAACTAGAAACCGATCATGTCTTTTCGAACGATTTCAACTTCCGTAATTGTAGAGCAAATGTCTCTACAAATGAACTTGAATTATACATGACGCAATTTTGTAGTTAGTAGAGCATTTTAATACTTGTCCTGAAAAAGATATCCCGTTACCTTTGCACTTTCGCTGTTCGATAGTGGAGTTTGCCTTCTTTTCAAAAAAAAATATTTTAAAAAAAATCAAAAGTCAAACCGCAAAAAAAATCAAATTTGAGCATGAACAAAATACGAGACACTTTCATCAAGACCTGTATGAGAGTCTTCACGACATTCATTGACTCTTCAAATCAAACAAATAAAAATCATCACCTAAAAGATCAAAGAAAATATTTTCGAAGTCACAGCATCTATTTTATTTTGAAAAAAACTCACATCGGCCAAATTGCAAAAAAACGGTAACAGAATTCTTCACCGCGTTGTTAAAATCCAAAAATCGTTCTTTTAAATACATGATTTTAAACAGTGCGCGAACATTTGGTTATTTTTGAAGATCCAATCAATAACATCCACTCATTCAAAATTTGTTAGGCTAGTTTGAAACAGTAGCCTCTCAAGTCGCGCTTGTAAGTTATAAGCGTCGAATTCGCAAAACTCGGCTACGTGTCGGATTCTATCATTAAAAACATCTCTACCAGTGTAATGAAAAAAAAATCAAAACAATTAACTTTTTACTAATCAACTGTCAAAGCTTATATGCCATTATAATGCTACAGGGCCTACCGATTCAAATTGCCACTAAACAGAGCACTTTAATTTGGAATTAAGGTTCAAAAAAAGAATCTTCGTACTAATACACTTCATTCGCAAGCCCGTTAGTTTAAACATAGTCAACAAAAAGTTGGAAAAGAGTCAATGAACGCAATTAAACAGAATAAAAAAAAATCGCAACTTTCGACTTTCAAAGAAAAGGATAGCCTTATGGCCCTTTGAATTTCTGGAACAATTCATGATTGTCACTTTTATTGACCCAATTTGAAAAACTTGATGTCGGTTACGTTTTTCGTGACCTTTACACTTTTGCTGTTCGCTAGTGGAGTTTACATTCGTTTTAACAAAGGATATGAACTGAACTTCAAAAGAAATCAAAAGCCAAACCTAGAAAAAGTTAACTTGAGCCTGAAAAACTCTTTAAAATTTTCCTGGAAAAAAATCATCGTGATTCATATAAGAACCTGAACTCCGTTAATCGACTCTTAATGAATGATTATTATGTGAACTAACGGCGACTAGTTTTCCCTCGGATGGCAAAAAGGCACTTTTGTTGTTCAGTCTCAGTTTAGTCTGCAGTGTGTTGTATTTCGTTTCCAGGTCCAACTTGTCCTGTACCTTCGGAGGCTTCTCACCTGTGAAACAGATACAACACACATTAATTGCTATCAAGATGAGCAGTAAAAAGTATGTGGAAAATCTAATTCCGAATTTAATTATCGCAAGAACAATATATATCTATAAAAAAATTCCCAAAAAAAAAACGAAAAACAGTTAAGTTCTGGAAAAATAAGATAAAACTTTCCTCTTCGTTGGAACCATTTTAATGAGAATCATCTAAACCTGTTTGATTCTTTATTTAATTCCTCTTACTTCGTCTGTAGTGTCTGAACTCCTCCAGTTTGGCCTGGACTGCTGCCAGAGTAGAGGGACCATCACTGATTCGCTTCTGCTGTAGCCACGGCACAGTCGCGTTGATCCACTTCAGCAGCTGAAAGAAACAAGAAATTGGAATATTGGTTGATCGGCTTAAATTAATAGGCATTTAAAGACACAAGGTTCCCCAAATGTATATTTTAAGTAACTGTCTATCTCGTAATAAAATGCAACAACTTTTTCGGACCAGATAATAAAAATTGCATACGAAAAAAAAAACGAAAATAAGCCGACTAAAATAAAGGCGAAAATCACAAATAAAAAAAATAGAAACAAGAGGTTCGCATATTTTTTGATCAGCTTAAAACTATAGATATTTACAAATGCCCGGCTTACTGAACTGTGTATCTTTATGTTAATCGGGGGGAGCAAATATTTTTTTTTCGGAAAAAAAATCTAGGCAAGCATCCTCACACAGAGCCGAAGTCATTACATAGGCGAATCTCCACTTCGCAAAGCAAAAAACTGGAAAATGGAGGTCTAAAAACAAAAAAAAATGAAAAATGCCAAAAATAATAGGTACTAAATTTTACCTTTTACAAGCGTTTATGTATAAAACAATACATTCATCTGCATCATTACATATTCACTCTAGAAGAAATCAAGATGCATTGCTGCCTGTCGACTGATATCTCTGAAACCATTCTTCAATGTTTTATAACTAAAAAATATAAAACAAACTTTCTGAAATTGCTTTCAACGTCCACTCACCTCTTTCTTCGAAAACTGCAAAAAAAATTACCGGTATTCGACCCTTATTCTTCCGAGCTCGCGAGTGTAAATATAGTCAAATTTTCAGTCAATCTGTCGTGTCTCATAGAAATTTAACTCAAAAATGGAGGCAAAGCTGAGCTTCGTAGCACTTGCCATACGAAAAAAACAGTGCATTACAAAAAATTGAATTTTTTTTTGAAAAATTAATTTGAAAAAACTACCTGAAAAAAGTCGTAAATACTTACATCTACAGTAATTTTATACACTTGTCTCAAATTATGTACATGAATAGCCTTAAGATGTAAAAGAATCAACAAACGATATAACAACAAGCTGATATAACATTACCCAAAACCGATTTAAAAAAAAACACGTAAATAATTGGAAAGCCGAGTTTATAAATTTACACACTTTAAATTACACTGAAGTGTATGAAGCGCTTTAACAGGGCGTATATGCTACACAGAGGGGTAGTAAAACTTCGCTACACTTGCGATACATCACGCAAGCTAGCGCATAAAAAAATGCAAGCTAGCGCCTAGCGCATAGAAAATTTTTTCAAAAAAAAGTTTAAAAAAAACTACATCTGCAAATAGATTATATTACGTAAACGAACGGATGAAAATAAGCGGCAATAGGCAGACAATACTAGGTAGGACGTCCGTTGAGATAACAAACTCATGTTAAATAAAAGACCTTGATGTTTTTGTCTTGCTTCAGATGTATAAAGTCGAAGATTGGAAAAGATTAATGAATGCCAGGTAAATATAAAAAAAAACACTGACTTTGTTGAAAAAATCGCTAACACTGACTTTTTTGAAAAACATCGCAACTGTCGAATTTCAAAGGAAAAAAGATGCTCTTTAAGCTCTTTGAATTTCTAGAACAATTTTAGATTGGCGCTTTTTTGATAACATTTTAACCCAACTTGAGAAAACTGTATCAATAGGTAAAGTTTTTATTCCGCTGGAAATCAAAAAAAAATTAAATTACATTAAACTAGAAATTGTTCACGTTTTTTGCACCAATCTACGTTCGTGTTTCGAGAGTGTTATTTACGTAATTTTCAGCAGATGAATTTCAATTGAACTCAAAAACTGCGTATTTACCTAAGTGCATCAATAAGACTTTTTTGTGAAAAAAAAATCAGCAAGACTTATATAAGAGTCTTCACGACGTTCATTACTCAAAAGCAACAGTAGAGGAATGAATGAATAAAAATGATAAAAGAGATAAAAACTTTTAAAAAATGACAGCTATATAGTTTGCCAAAAAGTCTGCCGGAAAATTTTCACCAGAAACAATTTCCATCAAAATTTTAACCAGAAACAATTTCCATCAAAATTTTCACCAGAAACAATTTCCAACAACTTCCAGCGTGACTTCCATCAAAATGAACTGGAAGTTGGTGTACTTCATATATAATCCTTAATCTGCCTTCAGTAATGCCTTCACAAGTCGAAACAAAAGTGTGACTTATGTTTAAAAAAATAGACAATGGATCAGTTTTTGTAATTCAGAGAAACCCAGCCTCAGGGTCATTTTTGGTTTTGAAATAATATTCACCGTGAGTCGCATTCCGTTTCAAGCTTCAGCTTTTAACTCGAGAAGATTTGAAACAGATAATTACTATCCGTTCAATTTTCACAAATAATTTCCAACGTTTACCTCAGAAGCGAGTCTTTCGTAGTCTTCCATCATCTTCTCGTTGTCGTGGTGAAAATCCAACACCCTCGTGATTCTACTGGCAGCTGTGTCTGCCTTCATAGCCCCTGAGAAGGCGTGGTAGTAGCAGGACACATAGGTCATGATTGCCTTCTCATCCGGTCTAGCTGTCTCTATGATGTCTTAAATAAAAAGCAAAAAAAAAAACATTATCATCTTCACCATCTGGTTGTTTATACGCAAATTCTAGACTCGTTTATATTGGTCAACTTAGGGGGTTTTCTTTTGTGGCTTTCGATACATTTCTGTGTTTAGAAAAGGTCAAAAACCCCAATTAGGTAATTTTACAGATAGCACTAGTTGACTTTTTCCCATTTTCATGAGATAAATGATATTATGCATTACAAACATCCAGATTTTTCCATCTTATATTTTTTAAACCAAGTTAACACCCTCGCCCTAGATACGCCAAGTTAAGATCATCCACACCGCTATTGAATTCGAATTAAAACTGCTGTAAAACATTCGATTCTGGTTACAACTGAGAAACAATCACATCCTGATCCCTAAAACGCTTTGGCCAGAGGGTGGGGGGGTTTGAGGATGCTAACTCGAATCCCATTTTTTTTGATAGAACCTTTAATCATTCATTATTATAAATTTTTTGCTCGAGATCGTAACAACTATCTCTTTATTATATATTTCATGGCAGTTCTTTGGAATAAAAAAAAGTTGCTAACATTTTACTTTGATCTTTTGAAATGTTTCATCATAATAATATTCTATTTTTTTTCGAGCTGACGAGGCCATCGATTTTCGTTCGAATCCCACTTCGGTCCCTAAAATTTTTCCAAATTCGGTCCCTAATATACTAATTTTGAGGGGGGAGCGCGCGCCAAAAAAAAACGCGATTTTTTGGTCAAATTTTTCCAAAAAGTGCCTAAAAACGCTTTTTTTGGACTGTTTTTCAAAATTTTGCCTGCGGAAATTCACTTTGCTCGACCTTAAAAAAAAAATTTTGAAATTTTTTTGAAAATCCGCCCCCCCCCCCCCTTCCTCGATAAAATCATAGATCCGCCCCTGCACTCCTCAAGGTGGGACCGGCTGAGTCAAAATGGATGACATCCACCTCCCCCACGGTTGGTCCTGCACTGAGCAGGACCGGAAGCTAATTTTAAAAAAAAATTAAAAAGGCCATCGATTTTGTCACAAGCCCCCTCCCTATCTATTTAAGACTCATTCTCAAATATCTATAAGTACTCTTTAAACAGCAACCAATAGGAATGATCAAAAAATAGAGTTTTCTTCTTCATCAGACATTAGCCAATATGACACCCAAAAATGGTAGGATGATACTTACCTTCTGGATCCAACATGATGGGGATGTCCAGGTGTTTCTCAGCCACCTCGAAGGCTGTCTTCAGATTCGTGTAAGGGTCATCCTAAACAATCAACAATCACACTATCACAATTACACAATTTCAACCTTACATGGCGATATTTAGTCACAAATACAATTTAGTGCAAAGACACTTGTTAATCTATGATTAGACGACACTCCTTTATCTGATAACCATAATCACCGGAAAATTCAAGATCAGCTATCACAATTGAATTAAATAAAAAAACGCAGCAAAATTGGAGCCCCCTGCTTCAATGTTGAATCATTCTGAGTTTCTTTCAGTCAATTCTAGTTTCTCAAAGTGTCATTACATTGATTTGGTTAACACTTAAAATTAAATAAAATGTCTTTTTTCAATGTACAGACTGGAGTGCTTGAACTGCGTAGCTTTAATCTAACACCCTCATACCATGCAAACAAACCACGATTGGTATTCAATTATAAAGATTATTCTAGAAAATTCTAGAATAGTAATTGCTAGTTTCTGCTAATTAGGAAGTACATAAGTTGATAAATCTTGAAATAAAGCAACAAAACACAAAGAATCAAGTGAAATATCTCCCCTCCCCTTGAAATTGATTTCACGCAATTTTAATTTTAGTCTAATGAAGTGAAGGATTTAATCATTCGCTTACATTATGAACATAGCCAACAGACAGTTGGAAAAAGTCATGAACGCTAAGAAACAGAAAAAAAACACCGACTTGTTTTTTTCAAATTTTTTTTTCGAATCTCAAAGAATAAATATACGGCCTTGGGGATTTTTGAATTTCAAGAACAAGCTAGATAAATCGGTAAATTTTAGTTCCGGTGGGAAACCTGTAAATGAAAGTCCATTTTCGAAGTTAGAAGTCGATCACGTTCTTCGCGACCTTTACACTTTTGCTGTTCGATAGTGGAGTTTGCATTCCTTTTAACAAAGGAAACAAGACTGCTCGTATCAGGACGAAGCCTTGAATGTTCCGACTGTCTTTTGAGGTTAATGGTGTAGTGTTCATTTCAAAAAATGGATATTTTTTCAAAATGAAAAAAAAATCATCACCCCCTCCCCCCCCCCCCCCCCCACCACACGCTTTGTAAAATACAAAGTGATATATTTCGCTTTACTATATTACTTATAACTAACTATTTAATATACCAACTAGCATGCCTCAAATCAATTTGGAACAATCTTTATAATATTAAGCTCAGGACAACAAAACTTTTCGAAATATATAAAAAATCGTCAAAAATTGCTAGTTAAAAAGTCGGAAATTATATTGACCACTACGAGCGCATTATATTAGAGTATTCGCTACGTACAAGACTCTGGGGTTCTCAATTTGGGGTTTTAAAATTGGGGAAATAAACTTGGGGAAACTTATTCACTTGATTCTGCTTAACATTTCGCACGTTCTTTTTTATTTCAACGCCATTACGCATCAATTATCTGAATTGATTTCAAGGTCAATATTACAGCACAAAACACCCTCGCAGTTTGCCATCCAATTTGAATTGTGCAGCTCAAAAGCAGATATCAAAACATCACACCGTTTTAGCATTCCGATTTGTCAGCGATATTGGAATCTCAATTAGTATTTTGATTAGATTGGGTACATGGATACGTGGGATGGATACCTTTCGTAGCGAGTGGTAATCTATAAGTTCCGGGCGGTGTTTGTGGATCAAAGCGCAGAACGCTAGACCGTCCTTGAAGCTATAAAAGAACACCATCTTTCAACATTCATTTATGCTTTGCTTGATATACATATACTGACATCGGCAAAATTGCGTTACTATTAAACAAGCTTTGAGATCAAACTTGTTTCCAAATTGTTTAAAAATAAAAACTTTCCTATTGATCTAATTTTCTCAAGTTCAGTTGCTGTTATAAAAAAGCGCCAATCATAAATTCTTCTAGAAATTCAAAGAGAGTAAATGACATCGTTTTTCCCTTGAAATTCGACAGTTGCGATTTTTTCAACAAAGTCACTGTTTGCGATTTTTTCAACAAAGTCAGTTTTTTTTTCTGTTTACTTGCATTCATCACTCTTTTCCAACAGTCAGATGGCTATGTTTGTGAATTCGCAGTTTCGGCTCTGTTTTTTATATTATTATAATCAGGAATATAATAATATAAAAAACAGAGCCGAAACTGCGAATTCACAAACATAGCCATCTGACTGGTTGAAAAGAGCGATGAATGCAAGTAAACAGAAAAAAAAACTGACTTTGTTAAGAAAAATCGCAAACAGTGACTTTGTTGAAAAAATCGCAACTGTCGAATTTCAAGGGAAAAAAGTATGAATGTACATCTGTAGTTATTAAAGACTAAGACTTTTTCTGAAAAAATAACAAAAAAATCAGCAAGACCTATATAAGAGTCTTCACTACGTTCATTACTCTTAATAATGAAAACTAGGCCTATCAAAATTTGAAATTTCTTATTTCGCGATAGAAATTCATTCAAGGAAAAAAAACTCAGACGTTTGAATATTAAATTAGCAACGGAACAATACCTACGAAGAAGAAAGCTGCTTAGTGAAAGTTGCTAACAGTACAGTCAAATTCTGAGAAACTTGAGCAGACAGACTGTCGGCAGACTATTAAATTTTTACATCTAACCTCTTTCAATTTCTAGAACAGTTTACAAATGACAATTTTTTCATGAAACGAACCCAATTTGAGAAAAATGGATCATTACGAAAAGATTTTGTTTCGCTGGGAAATCTGATAATTAAACTCCACTTTCAGTACTAGAAGTAGATCACGTTTTTCGTGACCTTTAGTTGGCCTTCCTTTTAACAATGGAAATATACTGAACTTAAAAAGAAAACACAAGTCAAACCGTGAAAATAAAATAAAAAACCTGAAAAAAATTTAGGACTTTTCCAGAACAAAAAAAATCAACAAGAGCTATATAAGAGTACTCACTTCGTTCATTTCCATTAAACATCGCCTTTTGATTGATTTTAAGGAATTTCGAAAGAACAGGTGTTCTGGATTTTATCAGCACAAAGTTTTGCCCTATATATTTTAATGAAATAAAGTAATAGCCTTAGAAAAGTAAGCCTTAGACACTTTGACCGGGTTTGGAAACATTGACTTTCCGCGAAAAATTCCCTGCAAAACCTTAAGCTGAGGGTTCAATCAAAGCAGGGAAATGTTTACATAGTCGTTAGGCCCTATTTTTTGACTCCGTTCAATTTCCCAATAATGACTATGTAAAAATTTCCCTGCTTCGATTGAAGCCTTAATTTAAGGTTTTACGTGGAAGTTTCCGCGGAAAGTCAAAGTTTCCAAACCCGGTCAAAGTTTCGAAAAACTTACTTTTCTAAGGCGATTACTTTATTTCATTAAAAGATTAGGGCAAAACCTTGTATAAATAGATTGAGAATCGGCAGGTAAGTTTTCACACAGAGGCGAAGTTGCATTTCGCATACAAGCAAAAAAAAATACGACCGACAACGCTACTGGGAAAAACTGTATGAATAAAACATTGAGTCTACAAAACTTCTCAAGTGACGCATGCCAACTATGAGGCATTAGCAGTACCAGCCAATTTGAAAAAAAAATACCAACTAACATGCCTCAATTTATAGAGCAATCTGTGGAGCAGTAATAACATGAAAAAAAATACATGTAATAAAAACAAAATGAAACTTTTTTATTAACTTGAATTTTTTTGTGAAAATTATCCCCGCACACGCCATATTAACTACAAAGTGATAAGCTTTGCTCCTAGTAACAAATCAATTATGGCAAATAAGCTTCCTTCAACCAATTTAGAACGATTTCTAAGAAGAATTAAAACTCCGCTTAAGCGTTAATAGCGCGAAATATATCGAGCGTTAGCTGACCCAAATTGGCAATTTTTAAATCCCATAACTTTACGAAAATTGATCAAAGGTGAAATATCTTTCCCAATTTAAGCTTAGGACAACACTACCTTCTAAAAATGACTAGTCAAAAAGTCAAATTTGTCTGAAGAAAAAACCACCCCGAGCACAAATATTCCGTAACTTTCGTTACAAAAGTCGGAACAATTAGTCTGTGTTGATATCCTTAGCATTGGCTGTACTTAATAGCTGGTTATTGATCAAAATGAACATTTTCAAAATGAACACATTTCATCGTAACAAAATTTGCGCCTTAGGTTGGAAAAAAAAAGATAGTTCATAGTATAACACAAGCATGGCATGTGTAATAATCGGTCAATGTTCGTAAAAAGATCCGCTTGAGTAAATAACTGTATTTTAGAAAAGAATCCTTAAAAGGGAAGCTATTTTGGTGTTATTTTTGGTACAAATTCGTTTTTTTTTTTCAAGCACAAAAAAGCTATCCTAACCCTATGACATCTAAACCAAAGGTATGGATGGATACAAATAATCGTTACTAATTTCTAGTGCAGTGTACCTATTACTTGAGAGTTAAACGACATCTAAGAATGCCCGCCCGACTGAGAATAGTTTGAAAAAGGGTGAATAAACGCCAAGTTAGATCCGAGATGACAAAGTTCAATTCTAAGCAAAGTAAAAATGTATAATCTATACTCTGGTCAAAATCTAAGACGCATAAAATACGCTGATTTTTTCAACATAATTTTCACTCGATATTTTAGAGTAGCATATAAATATGTTTGTTTACCTCATATGGAAATTCTGCACGTTGACATTTTTGTACGGCTGAGTTTTTCTTTGACACCAGAGCAACAGACCCGCCTTCGCACTCAATTCTACACACAAACGAAACTTGATCAGGAAAACCTTGATTAAAACTATTAATTGATGAGTCAAGAAATAAATAGGGTTCTACTTTCAAACACTTTGATTAACATAAAAAACGCAAGCATTGTTTCTTACAGCAAAATTTAACCTAAGACGTCGTTTTTGCCCCAAAAAGAACTTTGCGTCTTTTTTCATGGCTTGCTCGGAATTTTAACGTATATTTTCATGATTTGTTCAGCATTTTAACGTCTTTTTTCATGGCTTGTTCAGCATTTTAACGTATTTTTTCATGACTTGTTCAGCATTTTAACGTATTTTTTCATGGCTTGTTCGGCATTTTTTAACTCATCAGTAAAACGAACTAGCCATTCTGTTTTTTTTTCATTTAAAGACGAGTAATTTGTTGCTCATCGTGGTATATTCTTTAGTTGCTGCTCAGCATGTGTGCATAGACATCACCAAGTTCAGAGACACTTACTTTTCAAAGATTCAGGAATCAGACAGAATAGAAATGGGACAACAATATGAGATAGAAAAGCTGCAACCATTTTTTTGAACTATACTAACCGTCTACAAAAAACACATCACATTAATTTGAAACTACTTGATATACATTTTAACATTAAAGCTTCAACATTTACGTTCAATTTACCACTATTAAGGCGATATTCCATAGTTCTTTCCATCAGAAATTCATGGCATGAATTTTGCTTTTTGGCTGAAATTAAAATTCTTTGACAAAAATTCAGGCTCAAGTTACTATGATGATGGAAATTTTATGACGTTCTTTATCACAAATTCATGGCATAATTCTGTTTAGGCTGAAAGCAGAAAGTTTCATGTAATTTCACTTTAAAGTGAATACAGTAATAGCGATAACCTTTTGAACGTTTCAAAAGTTTTGGCATGAATTTTGCTATAACCCGAATTCTCTTCTGACACCAGGAGCAAAACTGCAACAGTTGCGCAACTACCGATTTGTTCTTTTCACCGCCGTAACTTGTATGCAAAGTCTGGTCACAATACTCAACTGAGAGCTGGAATATTTTACACTTGTTCCTTCAGGCTATAAAACTCAGCGGAGTATTAACAGTCAAACTCCACTTTGAGCCATGTTAACTTGAACCGATCCGGTCAATAACCATATAAACTATAAAGCAGAAACTTTTTTAAAATACATAACTTTCATGTTCAAATAATTTTTAAAATCAGCTTCACGATATTTCATGAAACTTTTTTTTTCAACTTGATGTTTAAGATTTTACGGTGTCTGAGCTTCCTCAAGTATAATTCAAAACTGAAGCGCTATATTTGAGCATTTTTTAAAGCTTTTTCTGAAATTAATTCTTCTTGGAGTGACTCGGCAAATCGTCCAAAAACAATGTCTCCTTATTGATGGGTCTCTACTAATCTAAACAAGGTTCCTTAAACTGTCCCAAAGAACTCAGTTTATATTACTGCCAGTTTGAGATTTATAATTCTATTCTTAATATAACTTATATAAATGTTTTGGTGCATTTTTAGCATGCATATAACTTGGCATAACTTTTGAGGACTGGTTTATTTCACCCAAACCAGCGTTGGTTCAATGCTACTTTTAGAGAGGAAATTGGATTGGTTCTTATTTTTGGGACTAATTCTACAGATAAGAGTTCATTTCCAAAGCAGAAGGCGTGTTATCGCTTTATTGTTCTGGAAAGATTTTCAGAAAGAGCTTACCCTAAGCCGAACCAAACAAAAAATGCCATAATTAAATGCCCCCTAAGACAGAATTCATTTTAAACAGAAAATATGGTACTGTGATCATTTTGATTAGACTATAAAACCTATCGAGCTTAAAGGAGAATGTGATAATAAAAAGTAATATATCAAGTCAACGGAGACAAACAAAAGAAAATTGGTTACCTTCGACAGAAATGTCCTGAATTGCGAATCTAAGAATGATAGTCCAGATCATTCCCAAGGTCATTTTCAGATTTCCATCCACAATTTCTAGGAACAAAACAATTATTTAGAACTTGAAATGAATTCAATTAATGAAACTTGAAACCGACACAGGGACAGCCGGTTACAGTACACATGTAGCACAATGATCCGACACTATATTCGACTGCACACAATTTAACACAATTAACAGCACTAAAAGACCAAATTGGCTTCTGATTTTCAATTTCAGAGCAAACTTAGGAAAATTTTCGAATTGACAACTGATATGAGATGCAGTTAAATTCTTAAACTGTTTGACCATCTTGTCAGAAATTTATTGAAACTCGGCATGAATCAAAACACATGCGCCTATTTCAAACCAAAGCGCCCGTTTCAAACCAAAGTTGAATTCAGAATGACTTGGTTGCTACAAATTGCGAGAAAAAGATTTACTTGAATTTATCTACGTGGAAATCAATAATTTACGCTTTGTCTTAAAGTTACATGTGAAACATATTCAACAGACAGGAAAAGAGTTAACTAACGCATGGAAACAGAAAAAAAAACTGATTTGTTCTTTAAAAACTTCAACTTTCCACTTTCAAAACAAAACCATAGAAAACAAACAGTTGGAAAAGAGTAGAGTAACGCACACAAAAAAGAAAAACAAGATTTTTTTTTTGAAGAAATGAACTGGTCTTCAAAACAAATTAAAAGTCCAACAGCAATCAATCAGATTTGCGCAGCAATTCTTGAGCTGTTGTCACTAATTAGTGCTACAAGTTATCAGTGTTCACTATAAATTTAATGTTTCGAGCGGTTACGATTATCTTGCATTGAGGGCCATACCTATGCATGAGTCAGACCTATTCCTCTAGATTCTATTCTCATCGATCGGAGCAAGTCAGAAGAGCATGATTGGAATAAACTATTCTCTTCGTATTCTGATCAGTTGGTTTACAACTCGGTTAATTTTTTTTTTCGTTGGTAGAATTAGTTATCATTGTTTACATAACTAATTATAACCTTGAGCTCCAGTTTCATGAAGAAAAAAATCCTCACGACCGACCTATATAACAGTCCACACTACTTTCATCGAATCTTAAAATGGCTTTAAAGCTCTGTGAACTTCAGAAAAATGATGATGGGCATTTTTTTGACAAAACTAACTCAATTTGAGAAAATTGGATCAATTTGACGTCAGGCAGGGACGTAACAAAGACTTTTCATGAAGAAAAAATCCTCCCCACCGACCTCTATAACCTCACCACCGACACTACTTTCATCGAATCTTGAAAAAATGGCTTTAAAGCTCTGTGAACTTCAAAAAAATGATGCTTGGCATTTTTTTTGATAAAATTAACTCAATTTGAGAAAAATGAATAAAAAGGTAAAGTTTGTATTTCGCTGGGCAAACTTTAAATCTACTTTCGAAACAAGAAGCCGATTACGTTTTTCGTGAATTTTATGCTTTTGCTGTTCGGTAAGGGAATTTTCCTTGCTTTTAACAAAAGAAACGAACTGAACTTAAGAAGAAAAAAATTCAAATCACGAACAGCCAAACTTAAGCGTGAACAAGACTTTTCCTAAACAAAACACACAGAAAAAACATCGGGCCCATAGCAGAGAGTTCACTCCGTTCATGCAGACTGGTCCAAGAGCAGAAAACATCTGAGAGCAAAAAAAAAATGACTTCATAGACTAATCCTTAAAAATAAGTTATAGAATTGTCACTATTACCAAAAAAAACAATAGTTTATACAACAATCATACTTTCATCGCTTTCTTTCATTAAACAAAAAAAATAGATCAAATTTTTTAATATACGTATTATTTGAAAGACAATTCGACAATTCTAAGACTTATTTTATCGATTAGCACTGGTAATAAATTATTTGTCTGTTTTTCTGCTCTGACATTTTCAGCTCTTGGACCACTCTCCTCATTGATCCGGCCACGGACCGAACAAAATTATACTGGTTAATTATTTCAAAACATACTTTGTTACTCAAACAATACGCAATAAATGAACAGTATCACTCCTCACCTTCGGCTCCAATTGATACCAACTGAACTCCTTTTCTGTTGATGAAATCTAATGCCTTATTCACGTTGGCTATTTTGTGGAACCGCATTTTGCCCCGATCTGGAGCCGGAAGACGTTCGCCAGAGAGAATCTCCAAAAGCAACATAAGTTTGAGTCCATTCTGTAGATCATTTTCCAATTCATCGATTTGAGTGGATGCCTTTCTCAGATGCGAGTTGCACCAAGCTGTAAAGGTCTAAAACCGGCAATGATGATGTAACTACAATCAATGGACCTTTTCTTTAGTTTACTAACTGAACTTGGGGTACTAATATGATAGTGGTCCCTCGAAAAAGCAACTATGATAGACAGGGCCCGCATGCAAATCGCATGTTATAATTTTACAGTTTAACCATTTTTGGGTTAATTTATTTGCTATTAAAATTAAAAATAGGTTTTACGAAGTAACAAAGCATAAAATTTGTTCAAAAGTATTCTGCAAAATAATAATTATTAAACGATTTGACAGCTCTAGGAGTCTTATTCTCAAGTGACCTGGTTATTTTCAAGGGACCACTCTATCATAGTTGTACCGAATTCGGTCATACTTACTTTCTTTTGTTGCTTTTCCCAAGCTGGATCAAGAAGGAACTCGTCTATTTCTTGATCATAATAGTCATCAAAATCTCCAGGATCGTAGTAAGTGATGCCATTAGGTTCATATCCTCCACTATACGTATCTCCAATAAAACCGCCTCCACTGTACATTTTAACAAACCTGAAAAGAAGGGGAATGACTGTAGAAAAACAACAAAGGAATCAATGTTTACTGCGCGAAACGTTTTCGAGTAAAACTCATTATTAGCATTTAGCTTTGTAACATAAGCAAATTTCACAACACATCAAAAATCAAATAACAAGCAGCAACATGAAATGCGAAATAGCACGATTGTGAAAAATCTAATGTGATGAGGAAACCTCACAACAACGAAAGAAACATTTAAGAAGAGTCATTATACAACACGGGATGTTGTGATGTGCCAGTCGGTCATATCTGGAAGTTTGACCTTGAGGAATACGAAATACGTAGTTTTGGGATGAAGTTTAATTTTTCAAAAATTCGAATTGAGCCTGACATGCTCAACTTTCTCGCGACAACTGAAAACATCAGAAATAAGATCAGAACGACCGAATCGCAATAGCGGGGAAGTGACAGAAAAAACAGCGAGAAATTGCTATTCGCAATTTCCGAGATTCTAGTAAGAAAACACGAGAGTAGAGCTGTCCTATCTTGATATAGGAGACAGAGTGATTACGAAAGAACATCGAAATTCAGCTGAACCAGAGTGAACCTTCAGTGGAAAGGTAGACAACTGAAGTCTCCCAATGGTTCAGACCCAAAACTATATTCTCAACTTAAAACTCATTTCCTTTGATTGGAATTCATTGATAGCAAACTTCTCGAGTTAGATTCAATCGTATTTATGCTAGAATTATTAATTAGCTTAATTACTCTTGATTCTCAAGTGTGCTGCTATGTGAGTACCTAATTTAATTTTCCCGAGTGTATTTTGTGATAAGTATGTTGAGATAAGGCGAGTTTTAGGTTGATCCATCTGAGATGGATCAAAGTTCCACTGTCCATTAAAAAGTAACTTAACGGATTGTTCCGACCCTGTTTTTAACGGCGTTCGAGACCTAAGTATTGGGTCGTTCTTATTTTCTAGAGTGGGGGGGGGGGGGGTATTTTGGTAGTGGCCTTTAAGCTGTAACGGGTTCTAGTCTCATGTCGCAAGTGAACCGAATTGGCTCCGACCGTTTTGAGGTAGAAAAACACAAGAGATAGTGTCCCTGACTGCTGAGCTAATGATTATAGGGCCTATTTTTCTTAAGCCTCATATGTTACCGAAGTAGGCGACTATTACATAATGTTTTTATGGCGCTCCTGGGTGTTTTTAAGACATCATGACTAGGGAGTCGAACCCACTTGACACAGCTCCGGGCTACATGCCCATTCTAGAGTACCGGTGGTACAGTTCAGCGGGAACGTGTAAACCTTCCGGTTGTACCGTGATAGCTTTTTAAGAAAACTCGAGAAAACTTCCCGGTACGCTCTGCGAACGAGGCTTAGCTAACCGAGTAAGGGGGTAACTAGGGGGACAAAAACACGAGCAAAAAGACAAAAAGCGAAACAAAAACAAGAAAAGAGAATAGAAAAAGGAACAAAAACCATAAAACAAAAAATGACAGTGACTTTGACACCAGATTAGTTGGATCAAACCTTTATATTAATAAAATAGTATATCCATACTGTTTTATAAGAACGAGCGTTTCGATCAACCTAGCAATCTAATCCAGCAACCTCAATAACGTGCCCGAGTGGGGGGCGTTGTTAAGGGTTTTCAGATAGCTTGCAACTTAGCTGGACAACTAGGAGACTTGACTGGAAGAGGTGACCAGCCGAGTGGTGTGCCAGTCGGTCATAATTTGAAGTTTGACCTTGAGAGAAGCAAAAAACACTTGATTTTGGAGTGAAATTTAATTTTTCAAAAATTTGAATGGAGCCTGTCATGCACGATTTTCTCGCGATAACTGAAAACCGAAAAAGAGAAATCAGAACAATCGAGTAACAATCGCGGGAAAGTTGCAAGAAAAATCACTAGGAAATTGCTATTCGCAATTTCCGTCACAGTAATAATCTAGAGTAGAGCTGTCCCATTCGAAACAGAGACAAGTGTATTCCCACGAACTGGATTATTGTGACTTTACTGGAGTATTTTTCTAAACTGGACCAGAGTGAACCTTCGGTGGAAAGGTGGACAGCTTGAGTGTCCCAATGGTCCACATAAAACTGCATTCTAGAGTACAAACTTATTCCTGTTGTTGAAACTAGCAAACATTAAACTCATTTAATTACACTATTTAATTCTTGAGTTGCTTACCGACTTAATTACTCCCAATTCTTGAGCGTGCTACAATGTGAGTACCAATTTATATTTCTAGAGTGTGTTTTATAATTGTTATGTTGAGGTAAGGCGAGTTTTAGGTTGATCCATCTGAAATGGATCAAAGTTCCACTGTCTAATAAAAAGTAACTTAACGGATTGTTCCGACCCGGTTTTTAACGGCATTCATGTATTTTGGGTATCTAGAGACCTAAGTATGGGGACGTTATTAATTCTAGAGTGGGGGGATATTTTGGTAGTAGCCTTTAAGCTGTAACGGGTCGTGGTCTCATGTCACAGACGAACCGAATTGGCTCCGACTGATTTGAGGTAGAAAAACACAAGAGATAGTGTCCCTGACTCTTGAGCCAATGGTTATAGGGCCTATTTTTCTTAAGCCTCATGTGTGACTGCAGTAGACGAATCTTACATAGTGTTTTTATGGCGCTCCTGGGTGTTTACGACATCAAGACTACGGAGTCGAACCCACTTGAGACAGCTTCGGGCTAAATGCCCATTCTAGAGTACCGGCGGTGCGGTTCGACAGGAACGTGCAAACCTTCCGGTTGTACCGTGATAGCTTTTTAAGAAAACTCGAGAAAACTTCCCGGTACGCTCTCCGAACGAGGCTTAGCTAACCGAGTAAAGGGGGGCAACTAGGGGGACAAAAACACGAGCAAAAAGACAAAAAGCAAAACAAAACCAAAAAAAAAGAATAGAAAAAGGAACAAAAACCATAAAACGAAAAAAGACAGTGACTTTGACACCAGATCAGTTGGATCAAACCTTTATATTAATTAAATAGTATACCCATACTGTTTTACAAGCTCGATCGTTTCGATCAACCTAGCAATTTAACCCAGTAACCTCAATAAAGTGCCCGAGTGTGGGGCGTTGTCAAGGGTTTTTAGATAGCTTGCAACTTAGCTGAACCAATAGGAGACTTGACTGGAAGAGGTGACCAGCCGAGTGGGAAAGTGGTTCAGGAGCACTTGAGCTGAACCAATAGGAGACTTGACTGGAAGAGGTGACCAGCCGAGTGGGAAAGTGGTTCAGGAGCACTTGAGCTGAACCAATAGGAGACTGGACTGGAAGAGGTGACCAGTCGAGTGGGAAAGTAGCCAAGAAGGATTTGGCAGTTCTCGAGTTCTCAAGTTGGGCAGAACGGGTATCGTTAAAATTCACATTACATTATAGGAAATAAGTGTAAAATTGGATAAGCGATATCCCCCGGTTTTGAGAAACGTTTTTACTTGAGCAGGCCTGGAGACAGGTCTACGGTTTTCTCTTGAGAGGTTTAGCACCCGGCGTTTAAGGTAACTTTAGGCTTAAGAAGGGGGGCTAAAAAGGGGGGAGGTTAGAAGGGGGGCTGGTTAAGTTAGAGGTTGGCGGTTGTAAATTGTAAAAAGGGAGAAAATTAGAATAACTAATTAATCGACATCGTTGATTTAGTTACATTAGTCATTAACACGCGTTGGTAATAATAAGTGGATATCGAAATTTGAACTCGAGTTAAGGAAGGTACCCTGGTCGGATTGGTAGGGGGAACGGACGTAGACAATTCTGGTGATACCCAATAAGATTATTAGTTGGGGGGAGGAAAACGCGTGGCAATTAGGTACCAGACAAAAATTTTTTCGACAAAAGGTAGACATTGGTCACCTTTGAATTTTAGGTGGGCTCAACTTTCCGTTTTTTATTACTTTTTCTAGCTTGGATTTTTTTTTGCATTTTGGTGAGGATTTGTGTTTAGTTTTTATACGAACAGGTGATCACAAGATACCTGCGCACAGGTTTTGGTCTCAAGTTGCTTGGAACATTGAAAGAGAGGTAATTAAAAAGAAATAAGAAAAAGGGGGGCTAGCATTTGGCTTTTAAGAGAGGGTTTTTGGGAAAATTTTACTAGAGTTTGAGTGGTGGCACAAGGTACAGTGAATCAAGAAGTCCCCATAACGAAGAAGAAAGAGGTCCCACCGCTCAGACACTTGTCAACAGTCTTGGGACAGTGCCAAAGAAGTCTTGGGACAGAGCAGTCTGGGGACAGTCTTGGGACAGTGCAGTCCTGGGACAGTGTTGGACCAGAACAGTCTTGATACAGTCTTGGGACAGTGGTCTTGGGACAGTGGTCTTGGGACAGTGGTCTTGGTACAGTGGTCTTGGGACAGTGGTCTTGGGACAGTGGTCTTGGGACAGTGGTCTTGGGACAGTGGTCTTGGGACAGTGGTCTTGGGACAAGGGTCTTGGGACAGGGTCTTGGGACAGTGGTCTTGGGACAGTGGTCTTGGGACAAGGGTCTTGGGACAGGGTCTTGGGACAAGGGTCTTGGGACAGTGGTCTTGGGACAGTGGTCTTGGGACAAGGGTCTTGGGACAGGGTCTTGGGACAAGGGTCTTGGGACAGTGGTCTTGGGACAGTAGTCTTGGGACACTAGCCTTGGGATAGTAGTCTTGGGACAGTAGTCTTGGGACACTAGCCTTGGGACAGTAGTCTTGGGACACTAACCTTGGGACACTAGCCTTGGGACAGTAGTCTTGGGACACTGGCCTTGGGACAGTAGTCTTGGGACACTAGCCTTGGGACACTGGCCTTGGGACAGTAGTCTTGGGACACTAGCCTTGGGACAGTAGTCTTGGGACACTAGTCTTGGGACACTAGTCTTGGGACACTAGCCTTGGGACAGTAGCCTTGGGATAGTACTCTCAGGACAAGGGTCTTGGGACACTGACGAAGTACTGGGACAGTACCGAACAGTCTTGGGACAGTAGAAAGAAGCCTGGGACGGTACAAAGAAGAGTAGGGACGGTAACTGGAAGTCTTAGGACGGTATAA